GAAGAAGGTTATATAAAGTACAAAAGTCAGTATTAAGTATTCCGTAAAAATTCAAAAAATATCCACTGGACTTGGTTTTCAATCTTGAAAACCAAGTCCAGTGGATATTTTTTGAATTTTTACGGAATGACTATGACCTGGATGACTGAGAACCTTCATCAGCATATCAGTATTAAATAGAAATATTAATGAGAGAAACCGAAGGGAAGAAATAATAATGATCAGATTAACAGTAGGTCATACTTATTTAAATGACAATTTATACTTAATAGGGAGGAAAAATAATGATAAATGTGAAGGATGTGGAGAGATAGAAAATGTAGACGTATTGATGAACTGTAAAACATCTGGACCTGAAAGGAAGAAATTGAAAAGAGTTGAAAGGACAGGCCAAGAATGGAGTCTTAAAGGATTATTGGGAAATAAAGGAAATATAAAAGATATTTATAGATTAAGGAAAGCATTATTTATTTATCCTCAGAATACAAAATTAAAAAATAGAATTTAATAGATGTAAAACAATGTTGCTACACACTCATGAACAGTAGGTGGCGGTATGCCCGCCCCTTCCCTAGAGCCCGGTGGGATCGAAAACATTTTGAAAGGAAATCAGTGGGGAGAAATTAATAAACTTCTGGTCCCAGTCACTCTCTGTCACTGATTCCAGATATGCTGGTTGTGTATTCAAATTGTTTTTTTTTTTTTTTTTTTTTTCCTCTTTGGTCTAAATCTGGTCAAAACCCATCAATGAGATCGCACCAAACAGGAAGTTAATTGCACAAAGGATCCGGTAGATTTCTAAATAAAACACATCCGATCTTAACCCATGATCCTTTTTTTTTTTACTAGTTTAATTAGTTTCTCCCGTTTGCCACGACGTAATGCATTGATCTGAAAATCAACCTCAGATGCAACGCACGCAGTGGCGAGGGTTTGATCCGTCAGATGGAGTTAAATCACAAAGAATTCAATGTTGAATCGGGGCGGCAGCTAAATGCTAGGCGATGGGTAGCAGCCAAAACGTTGCAATTTCACATAATCCTGACGAGATCCGAAAACCCGTAGCAAAAACTAGCAAGCGGGTGATTATGTATGTTCACTAAGTAAATATTATGTAAATAAACCCTACACTTCTCGCTATAAATGTAATCAAAACCCATTTAAATGCAGAAACTGATTGAAATTATTGATTTTCCCACTAAAAGTTAGAGAAATCTCAGCCATGTTTATACCAAAACGTTTCAGTTTCACATTATCTTGAAAAATCTTTGCAAGAAACGAACAAGCAAGTGAATATGTACATTCCCTGAGTAAATATTCTGGCAACAAACTATACATTTTTCACTAGAAATGTAATCAAAACTCATTTTAATGCAAAAACAAACTCAAGTCATTAATCTTTCCACAAAAAAATGAGCGAATGTCGGCTATATATATATATTTTTTTCTTCTCCCAGCTGGAATCTTGAAAGTCACGTGACTAGGACGTAAAACAATAGAAAGCGTATAGGCAGAAGAAACGTAACAGTACCACAAAAAAAATGGCCATTAATGTACCTCCACTACGTTTTGCAGTGTGGACCAACGTAGTGGGGGTACATTTTCCCATGAGACTGGGTTGAACAGGCTGTGGAGGAACTGGGGCTCATTCTTTCTTTTTAAATAAACTTTATTGGAAAACATTTTTTAATACAAAAAGAAATAAGTACAATTTCCAGTGAACAATCGCCCAAGGTTTGAACGAAAATAATAATAAGAAATTTAAAAATAACTGGATTAAAGGAAAAATAGTAATAGTGATTAAGTAAAGCTGCACATAGAAGCAAGTAAATTGATTACATAAATACTTTGAATTTGGAGCATAAAGATAAAGTTTTAAAAGCCTTTTCGTTGTTGGAGGAGGACAATGTAGAAAAATAAGTCGCTTCCTTTAAGAAAGAGATACATGAGGGTTTAATCATAATAATTTTACATTTGCCGATATAAAACTTGGCCAACAGTAGCAAAAGATTACATAAGAAGAAATGGTCAGAAAGTTATTTTTTGTATGTTGTGATTTCAAATAAAATATCCTTAAAATAAAGTTCAAATTTGCCATAAATATTGTCCAGAGTGAAGCGACAAATACGTTGCAATATGGTTCATTCTTCATTGCATCAGATCCTCTAAAGGTCCTTCCATTTCAGTCAGGTTTAGATATGGACTTTGACTAGGACATATCAGCGAATCATGAGGGAAATGATTTGGAAAAGCAGAGTTGTTCTTTATAAGGATTAGAACACATTATACGGTCATTGGATGCAGGATGCAAGGAAGAAAAGAATCCCAGCTCATATAAAAATCTGGCCTTTGGAAAAATAAAACTAAAGATCTTAGCAGGGCAGTCCGATTAATAATGTCATGTATAAAGTTGGTTCAACGTCTGCATCCTGCCAAATAAAACAAATGGGCTTCTTCTGTTTTCAAGATGTTTATAAAAGATCAAACCTTTCAACCTTTAAACTCTTTAACAGAAAAAGCATAAAGGAACATTTCTCTGCATTATAAATGTAGCGTAATTGATTCACACCAATTTGGTTGTGAAATGTCATGTTATATTTTTTCATGGGATAATATATAAAAAGTGAAACTGCTGCTATGAAAAGAAGTCAATATCCAGCTTATATAAAAGTAGTGTGGAAGGATATTTTTCCTTGGCCTATTTGTGAGATAGAATATTCTGAGTGTGCCTTACCTCTGTCTAAATAAGGGTGATTGTTTAGAAGTATTGTACCAGTCTGTATGCTGGAGTTAAGTTATGGAGTTAGGAGTGGGGATGACAGAAAGCAGTTGCCTCCCTACTCTAGACGAGGGTGAAAGGAGAGATGAGAATGAGTTCACCTAGCCTACTTCATGCCGTGAACGGGAGACCTGTTCTGGGTGTTTATCTGGCTATAATTTATGTCCTTGATGAACTGAAGAGTTTTTTTCTTGGGAATAACCAAATGTTCAAGTGTGAGAAAGTTCTTTATGCAGGGAGTGGGTTGGTTCCCCTCTGGGGAGTGTGTGTTGGGATTTTTGTAAGGTATAAATGTATGTACTAAGGTTGCCTCAGTCAGAGACCTATCTCTCTGTCTGAGGATGTTAAATAAATTTGAACATTATTTCCATGTTCCATGTTACCCATGTATGGAGGCCTTAGTCCTCGACCCAGGTTCGAATCCGGCCTGTGGTCCTTTCCCGCATGTTTCCCCCTCTCTCATACCCCCTTTCCTTTCAGCCTACTGTTCATAAAAATGAGCCACTAGTGCTATAAAAAAAATATTAAAGAAAAAGTTCACATTCAGAATACAAGCTTCTGAAAGTACTTTAAATATTAAATTATTACATACTGTTAAATAAATGATAAGTGTTTTTAATTAACAGTAATTTTCATTTGAATGTGCTTTTGTCAAAGAACTCTACTGCCACCTACTGGTTTGTGACGTCACGGTGCGGTATCGGCTGTTGATCAAGTCCCAGTGCTGTATCTGGTGTTTGTCACAACGCGCTATTATCCAAGTCATCTTGAAAACATTCTTCTTCCAAATGTTGGCTACATATTACGGGTTTTTTCTCTGGCCAGAAGTTCGATGGTAAATCCTCCCTCTTCAAGTTGGCGATCCAACGACCAACCCGTCCGTGGAGGATCAGGAATCAGAAAGGTGGAATAACTAATCTTTTTCACTTTTCCCCGATGTATTCCAACATCCAGCTGCCATGCACGTGGGCATTGTCAGTTTCACTATAGCTCTGGTGAATTTCAATGGTGAAGTCCTCTGGAAATCTTCAATAATTGTTGTTGATTGCAGATGTGTCTAGTAGTTCCCATTGATTTTGCTTGTAAAGCGGGGAGAATGGCGCTAGGCTTACCGCACCGTGACGTCACTGCTGGAAGATGGCAGGAGGGAGGGGTTACTATATTTGGGCAAAAATGGCCGCTCCCAGACTCAGCAATCACAATGAAAATTATTGTTTTCATTTTTTTTTGCTGATTAATGTTAAATTAATTAAATTGACGTACTAGTTTTAGGTATCAATAATGATCCATTGGTTACACTGCAAAAAACATCTAGAAATAAGTAAAAAAAAATGTCTTAAATTAAGTGTATTTACACTTAATTTGAGCAGGTAAATAAGATAATCTGCCAATGGAATTAGTATCTTTACTCCTAAAATAAGATAATTTGATAATATACGCTAGAAATAAGACAAAGCGATTGTTTTTTTTTTCTTATTTTAAACGTAAATTGTCTTGTTCCATTGCCAAAGTGTCCCACTTACCTCCTCAATTCAAGAAAAAATGCACTTAATTTGAGCAAAAATGACTTATTTAGATTTCCATTTTTTGCAATGTATTCCTTGCTGACCAGACTTTTCCTTTTAATGACTGCATTTAATGACTGACATTAATGACTGCATTAATGTTTATAAAGCAATGTTTAAAATGTAATTTCTTTGCAGTATGTATGAAATAGGATCATAGCTGCAATCTTTAATTTGCAAAGATCAGCATGAAATAAACCTGCTGTTCTCGGTTAGTTTTCCTCATATTGGAAAACACATTCTAGAAATAAGTGAAAAAGTCTTAAATTAAGCATATTTACCCTCAATTTCTGTAGGTAAATGAGATAGTTTGTCAATAGAATGAGTATTTTTACTTGGCAAATTGTCTCCTTTACCTCCTAAACTCCAAGAACAAATGGAGTTTAAGAAAAAAATCACTTATCTAGGTTTTTATTTTTTCCAGTGCAACTTCAGTGTTTGGTGTGAGAAGTTGTGTGACCATTAGTGGACGGGTCAAAACAATAGCTTATGACTGACAGCACACACACACACACACCGGCATCGTCTTTTTCCTTCTGATGTTTCTGTTGCTTGGTAACTGAACCCGCCTGGGGGGTGGGGGGACTGATGCTGCAGGGAATCTTCTTTTCCCTTTATATTTAAAGCTGTTTCTGCTCTTTCCTGTTTGCAAACTGATTCTCCAGTGATTCTGTTTCCTTTACATTTCAGCCGTTTGCTGTTTTTCACCTGAACAAATTGCAGGATTTATTTAGACCTCCTGTGTTTAGGATGTAGCTTCTGGTGAGCGTGAGGATAAAGATGAGCTAACAGCAGCAAACGGTTAAAATCTCATTTTGTATTCCCATCATGACCTGCGTGTGTGAAGCAAACAGTGACGTCACTCAGCATCACGGCGGAGCGGGTGCTGAGGGGAAATATAGGACACGGAGACGAGGAAGGAAGAGGAGGTCTGCAGCAGCAGGGAGAGAAGCAGACGGCAGCAGCTCTTCATCAGGTACGTCTTCTCTCTCTGTGCTATTGCAGCTGCTCCTCATCATGCATGATAATGTTTTGGTCGGAGCTCAGAGGAAGGTCACAGCTCTGTCTGCAGGCCCACTGCTTCCTCACTAAAGGACAAGTTCAACATTTCCTGCTTCTCCAGCTCTCTGTTTACCATCCATATCTTTTACATTTTGATGTCAATAGAAAACTTTAAAGTCTAATAAAAACAGAGGCAATGCTAGAGGAATCCGTATACAGGTGCTGGTCATAAAATTAGAATATCATGAAAAAGTAGATTGATTTCAGTAATTCCATTTAAAAAGTGAAACTTGTATATTATATTCATACATTACATACAAACTCATATATTTCAGATGTTTATTTTGTTTAATTTTGATGATTACAAATGACAACAAATGAAAATCTCAAATTCATCATATCAGAAAATTAGAATATTACTGAAGACCAATAAAAACAAAGGATTTATAGAAATGTTGGCCAACTGAAAAGTATGAACATGAAAAGTATGAGCATGTACAGCACTCAGTATTTAGTTGGGCCTCCTTTGGCCTGTATTACTGCAGCAATGCGGCCTGGCATGGAGTCGATCAGTCTGTGGCACTGCTCAGGTGTTATGATAGCCCAGGTTGCTCTAATAGTGGCTTTTAGCTCTTCTGAATTGTTGGGTCTGGTGTATTGCATCTTCTTCTTCACAATACCCCATAGATTTTCTATGGGGTTAAGGTCAGGAGAGTTTGCTGGCCAATTAAGAACAGGGATACCATGGTCCTTCAACCAGGTACTGGTAGCTTTGGCACTGTGTGCAGGTGACAAGTCCTGTTGGAAAATGAAATCTGCATCTCCAAAAAGTTGGTCAGCTGCAGGAAGCATGAAGTGCTCTAAAACTTCCTGGTATGTGGCTGCGTTGACCCTGGACCTCAGAAAACACAATGGACCAACACCAGCAGATGACATGGCACCCCAAACCATCACTGACTGTGGAAACTTTACACTGGACTTCAAGCAACGTGGATGAAGTGCCTCTCTTCTTTTCCTCCAGACTCTGGGACCTTGATTTCCAAAGGAAATGCAAAATTTACTTTCATCAGAGAACATGACTTTGGACCACTCACCAGCAGTCCAGTCCTGTTTCTCTTTAGCCCAGGCAAGACGCTTCTGACGCTGTCTGTGGTTCAAGAGTGGCTTGACACAAGGAATGCGACAGCAGAAAACCCCAAATGTCTTTCAACGTTGTGTGTGGGGGGTTCTTAAAGCACTCAACCCCAGTTTGCAGCCCATTTCTTTTGTGAATCTCCCCCACTTTTTTGGGAAGGGGTTTTTGTTTCACAACCCTTCCAGGGTGGGGTTTTATCTCTTTTGCTTGAAACATTTTTTAACAAACCCTTTCTTTTCCTTCCTTCGCCTCTCTTTTAAATGTGCTTGGAAAAAAACCCCCTTTTGGGGGTTTTTTTTTTTTCCCCCCCCTTTTGGGGGGGTGGGCTTTTTTCCCCCCAGGTTTCCCCCAAAAAGGGGGGGAAAAAAAAAAAACCTTTTTAAAAATTTTGGGGGTTTGAGTTAATTTTTTAGAGTGTGGCACCAGGGGCCCAAAAATTTAAACCCTTTTTAAAATTTTTCTTAAATTTTTTTAAAAAAAATTTTTTTTTTTTTTTTTTTTTAAAAAAAAAAAAAAAAAAATTTTTTAAAAAATTTTGGGGGTTTTTTTTTTAAAAAAAATTTTCCTTTTTTTTTAAAAAAATTTTTTTAAAAATTTTTTTTTTTTTTTTTTTTTTTTTTTTTTTTTGGGGTTTCTTTTCCTTTTTTTTTTTTTTTGGGTTTTTTGTTTAAAAATTTTTTCCCCAAAAAAATTTTAAAAAAAACCCGGGGGGGCCGGGGGGTTTTTTTTTTTTTTTTTTTTTTTGGGGGGTTTTTTCCCTTTTTTTTTTGGGGGGGTTTTTTTTTTTTTAAAAAAAAAAAAGGGGGGTTTTTTTTTTTAAAAAGGGCCAAGGGGGGGGTTGGGGGTTTTTTTGGGGGGGGGGGGGGGGGAATTGGGGGGGGTTTTTTTTTTTTTTTTGGGGGGGCCTTTTTTGGGGGGGCAAAAAATTTTTTTTTTTTTTGGAAAAAATTTTTATCCCCCAAAATTTTTCCCCCTTTCCAAAAACCCCCCCAAAAAAAAAATTTTTTTTTAAAAAAAAA